TTTTTTGGTAGTATTCTTTTAGTAACCATTTTACAAAATATGTTTATTGCTTTTATGGGGTAGGATTCAATTTTATTTTTTTATTCAAGATTTATTCTAGAAACAATTCGTGAATTAATTAAAATTTTCATTAGGGGTGTGTATTCTAATGCATATGAAAAAGGTCGAGTTGCATTATTGCGATTTCGTGCAGAATTGATTTCGGATTATGAAGCATTAGATGAGATATATTTCTATCCTCCATCACCAGAAGCAAAATATATTCATTATTTAGGTAAATCAAAAAATTATGAAGATTGGAATGCGAATGTAGAGAATCGTGAAGAAAAAAACTTATATGATGATTATGAAAAGAAAACGATTGAAAGAAAACTATCATTTAATCAAGTAGATGATTATAATTTTTCGTCTAATAACGAAGATGGCTATAATATATCCAGTGAAGATTCTAGTTCTTCTGAAAGTGAAATTGATGAAGAAGATATTTGTATCAAAGTTAATGAGCTTAACAATAATGTTATTGAAATTGATGGTAAGATTAATGACATTAATACTAAGTTGAATAGAAAGGTTGATGATGTTTGTAATACGATAAATGAGGTTAATAGTAAGATTGATAAATTACTTAATTCTATCATTAAGTAAAATAGAATACTTGAAATCTTTAACCTTTTTATACGTTAAATTTCAATGACGAAACTCCTTTTTTTTTCTATTATTTAAATATCAATATTGATTAAATTAAAAACTCGATAGATTCGATACGCCGAGTTTTTTCTTAATTATTTATACTTTTTTTTATTTATTTATATATTTATCAACAAGATTTTTTTCATTAAATAACGTTTTATAAATAAAATTGAATTAAGTCGTCTAAATTTATATATTTATATTATCAAGTAAGGTTAGAACTCTAATGCATTTTAAATATTTATGAACTTAAGCTATAAAATATGAGACTTTGCTCATGCGGGCGGGATTATACCAAATCAGCGATAGTTATAAAACAAATACATTTGAAAAACTTACCTAATCTATTGTATTTCATGCATTTTAATAATAGCAACTAGTTAAGAATCTATCAGGAAAATAACCAAGGATTTAAAATAATATTTCAGTAGAGCGATTTTATCAATACCATTGCATTGTTGTTCCAATATCCGATAAACTATAAGAATGTGTATTTTTCTTTCCTTAAAAAATAAACAATTTAGATGGAACAGAATAAACAAGAAATTCACAATAAAATTTTTACGTTGTATCATCATAGAAAAAACATTATTTAACCCGATACATATTGATTTGTCTTTTCAAACTTATCAGACTTTTTTTTGACTCTTGGCGACCTTCCGAACCATTACTTCTATCTACTATAAACTTATATCGTATCGTTAGTATTTTTTTTCTAGGTTTTGCTAAAAACGGTATATTTCCTATTACTGTTTTATTAAATTACAAGGTTTATTTTGCATTCCTTTACATAGAATACAAGTTGAGGATTTGATATAACTAAAAAAATTATATATAGAGAGAAAAGAATATAAAAAAATCTGGGCATTTCTTCTTAAAAATGACCATGGATATTTTAATTGTGAGTAAAAGATCATATTTATTGTTTGTTTTACAGAAATATCTAGGTTATAAGTCAAATCGTAATATTGTTGAAAATTTCTTACGGTTCTTATCGTTCCCATTCAAAACGAAATAAAGAAGCTATTGAATTGAATTTATTTTCTTATCTATTTCTGTATTTTAACAATTTTTTTTTTTTGAAAAATATTTTTTTTTGTTATTAAGAACTCTTTTGACGATCCTAGTGTTACAAAGAAATATAATTGTTCTATCGTGTTCTATTAGTTCCAGGGCATTGTGTCCCATTTCTGTTTAGTATTATTTAGTTAGACTTTTGTAGATCGGTGGTCCAATTGTCCCCGGCCAAATTGTCTGCAGGCCAATTTGTCTCCTGGCCAATATGTTTCGAGGACAAAAAGGCCTCCGAACAAGTAGTCCTTGCTGGGTTTTAAGTATAAAAGAGGTGGGATTTCGCTTGAGTAGAATATATCAAGTGTTCCATATATTACCTAGATAAAAACGATAGATTACATTAGCATATATCCCCTTTCCTTTTATTTGTAACGATAACTAAAGTATAATAATAAATTACGTATCTGATCGTATAGAGCGGCGACGATTTAGGCAATACTTTATTTACGTAGATTTATGTTAGATTTCTCTTGTTGTTAATAAATAAATTTAATTCATTTCAATAAAGAAACCTTCTGCTTACCTTTTCTATTGTTTATAACCAATAAACGTTTCGAACTGCGTGCAACAATACCGAAATCTTTAATTTAAACGTTGCTTCAATGATTTCAAGATGGATTGATAAAGTGGAAGTGAATAGTAGATTCTCTTATTTACGAGAGTTATATTTACCATATAATTTTAATTACTGTTGAGAAGGAGTCGGGATGGATTTACACCTAATAAGTTTCATAATTTATGTAATAATAAACCTATTACTGTTACATTAACGTTAATGAAAGTAAAAGGAAGTGATGAAATATTGGGTGGTTATATGGAGATCTAATATTGTTGCAATTTCAACATCAACAAAAGATATGTTTATATTTTCTTTTAAAATTAAAGATAACCTTATAAAGATACTATTAAAGATTAGAGACTATTAGATCTATTTATGGAACGGAGGATAGCATAAGTATTTCTTAACAAATCGAATTCCTATACGACTTAATAATTTTGAACATATGGTTTGTAATCCTAGTATAATAAAAACTCTTTGGATGATGAATCAAAAATCAAATTTACCCACTTAACATTGTTAGTGTATAGCACACTTTTCACATAGATACAATCTTCTTGTAAAAGAAAATTTTAAAATTGAGATTAAATCATCCAATAACTAATGGTCACGTTGTGACTGAAGTTAATTAAAAATTTATTCCTTTCTTAGCATTTTGAATACAATCATTTATATACTACTATTAATTTAATATTTTGTTCCACAACGTAATATTTAAGGAAAAAAATAGTAAATTTAAAATAATACATTATTAATTTCGTTCGGAATTATTTGGCAAAAAAGCTTGCTTGATTAATTTCATCAATCAATTTTCAAGATAATTTTATTCAATTTTTGAGATACAAGAAAATGGAACAATTCTGATCGTACGGGTTTTAAATTTCACTGCAGATTATTTTAAAAATGAAAGTTTCGTCCGCATGGGATAAACTCAATAAATACCAAAAAAAAAAAAAAAAAAAAAAAAAAATATAGCAATCTATATTCCATAAGAAGGATTATTTTCGTAAATTTTCGTTTAGGATCTAATTTTCTTGCTGAATATTTTGAAAATGAGAATTTCGTATATTGGGAAGAAATTAGAGAATATAAATAAATAATAAATTTCAAATAACCGCAATATAAAACTATTACATGCATGAAGGCGGAGGATTATATACTACGAAGCAAATATTTCAAAAATTTCATCATGAGTGTAGATAAAGAGAAGGCTTTGCCGTTGGTGCGGTTGTTTCCATGACCTAATAAAAACATCAAAAATTTTTATAGAAATTTCCTTCGTTTGAATAATTAATTTATTCACTTTAAAAAAAAAAAAATACAAACTGATTTCCGATAATGTTTTTTGCATTTGATTTCAACCAAGAACAACTAAAAAATAAATAAAACTGTGAAATGTGAGTACTTGCGTCATAATCGTAAAGAGTCAAGAAGAACGTTCGCAGTTGTTTGTTACTGTGGCCACGATGAGCTTTCAATTCTTTGATTCGTGCATCCTATTTACCATTTAATTTAAACTTCCACAGGTGTGGAAGACATCGGAAACAGGGAAGAACGTTCACAGTAAGAACAAAAGCACTTCCATGATTAAAACAAATGCACCAAGAATTTATAAGTTTCCATGATTTTTACGAAGGAACATAACCAATTCTCCTACAAATCAGCAGACCTTCATCTCAGAAACTCCCTTCAAGGTTTATTCATTCCACTGATGAAAGGAACCCTCACTCAAACTATGGCCACGAAGAGCTTTCAATACCCAGATTATTTTTATACCTAGTGGCAGTGCAGCTTCAGATACACAACGACTCAACAAATAGCTCAGTAAGACTACTCACCTTTTATTCAATTCTTCCTTTCCATAGCAGATGAAATTTTAGAATTTTTAATAGAATATTCAACCCACGCCTTGGTTTTTTTCGTTCCTAGTTTTAGCTTTTTTTTGTTTCAATAGTTTGAATTTTCTATTATAAAAAAGAGTTCATTTTTTTATATCCCACAAAAACTTGTTTCTTCTTACCATAACTAGAATTTGAACAACTGTTGATATAACAAGTTAAATCGCATCATCGGTGCGAATTTTTTGTTATTTTTTTTTCTTATAGATAGGACACCGAAATCAAGCATTTTTTATTTTCTCCATGAAAATATACGTTTTCTTTTAGACTAACATCCTTTCGATTGCTACTAGCAAAAAATAATCTTTTGTTTTTGAATTGAATTTACATTATTTATTGTGAGTTAATAATTATCTTCTACTTGCATGTTTTAACACAAATCCGTTAAGTATGAGAAATTATAGTACGAGGATTTCTCCGCTCAATTCAGTTTCCACAAACTTGACAATTTGATTGATTGATGAGGATGATTAAAATTCCCTCATAGATATTCCGTAATAATCAATAGCAATAATAAAAGAAGCATAATCAAAAAATAGCAATCATTAGTCACTTACATCCACATGCATATACTTACGCATTTTTTTATGACAATAATTCTTTAGTATTGATTGCTTATCTCCGAAATAAAATTGGGGCGATTGAAGAAAAGTACTTTATTTTATTCTTTAGGTGACAACGTATTCTCTGCAATAAAAATAGTTAAAAAATGGTAATCTTGTTAGATTGGATATAAAGATTTATTTCTCTCACCACTTTTGGCCTTTGGGTTTTATTGCTTACGACCAACTATTTTCGAAAAAATCGTCTTTTTTTTTTTGTACACCACAGTTAGCGGTAAAATTTTTTTTTGCAAGGCAGATAGATATGTTGCATTGTCGCTTTGATGATTAGAATAATCTTTATAGGTTTCTAATTCTGATCAAATTTAAAAGTTAAACATTTTGTTAATAAATTCGTGAATTAATTTAACTATTCCTACATTTTTTCTTTATAAATCTTTTATATAACCATTTGCGTAAGTAGCCTTCTAAAAAGAAAAAATTTTGTGCGATGCAATTTCGTAAAATAATAATAAATTTTTTTTTTTGAACTACTAGTCAAAAAGTTAATAATTTCAATATATTTTATTAGGACAATGAGCGCGATTAGAATATTTTAAGATATTATCTAGCTTTGATTCAATCTTTATCAAAAAAAGAAACTTCTCGAACTATTTAAGTTGATAATAAAAAAAGTAATATAAACGAAAAATTATGAACGAAATAACATAAATACCAACCGATTTGATCGCCACCAAAAAAAAGATCTACATAATAACGATTTTTTTTTTGTTGCTTGCTTTTTCAATTTGTAAAATGTCTGAAAGTAACGATAAAGGTAAAAGTGTAATAAAAAGGATTAAAAATATATTTACTAAAACA